ATTTATGCTTATACAAGAGTCAGTTACAGTTCATCATGTTGCTCCAGCTCTACATTTGTAGCAGCACAATGCCATTAGTCATTTCCAGAACCATAGCTATTAGAGATTGAAGTGACCTTTTAATGTCATCACATCCTACCCTGATTCCTACTATCCATGGCAACAGACTAATGTCAAACACACAATTATGACTTCACTGCAAAGTGTAGCAACAGAGAAGCTGATTTCCAGTTTTAAGCTAAATTTTAGAAGTTTGAGGCTTTTGCCATCCAAATCAGTGAAAGTTATTTGTATTCAATTTGTAAGTTGTTCAATAGTCAAGGTATTTCTGACCACCCATCTCACACTTTTACCTAAACAAAAAATAGATTCTTTTTGGCAGAGGAGAGAAAAATAAAATGACCACATCATGCAGAAATTGGTGTTTGATCCAGGACTATTTCAAACAAAGGACAGCTTTTTTATAACGTGGGGGAGGACTTGTTTTTTCTGTCTTCCTTACCCCAATCAAATCATGAAGGTTCCTGTATTGCATAGTCCATATCCATTTTATATAATATGGACTCCAGTGCAAAGCAGTTCACAGTTACATCCACCATCCCCCGGCTGGAGCCACCCTGCTCCACATCAGACTAAAGTAACACATCTGCAATACAAGGTGTTGGAACCTGGGATAAACACAAGGTTCACCAATGTTGTAGTGTAAATACACTTTTGGAGATGAGAAGTTTCTATCTGCTGCATGTATCTGGGTGTGAATGTACCTGAAACGCATTGCTGTGTGAAGATATTGCAGCTTGCTTTAGCCCAATTGCAATGCAATGCAGTTTTAATGTAGCACTACACTTATGGGAATTGGCCCTCCTTTGGAGGTGGGAATACTCACCCTCGACCACTGCCATGCTAACACACATCTGCAATGCAGTTTTAATGTAGCACTACACTTATGGGAATTGGCCCTCCCTTGGAGGTGGGAATACTCTGCCCACTGCCATGCTAACACACTGCTTGTAAAACCAGAGCTGATGTTCATACAGGGGTATTTACTGAGCCATACAGGGGTATTTACTGAGCCATTCCAAGTGCACTGTGCTTCACTGAAACTCACTGGAGAGTTTGCTTGGTATAAACATGAAACCTTAATATAGTAGAAACGATAATCAAGCCTCCTTTACTTGTGGTTAATGACATTCCTGCAGCAAAGTTGCTTGGCTTGCAAGAGTTTGAACAGCAGAGTAATCATATCAAGATCATTTATCACGAATTGAGATGTGTGACTCGATTTTGTAGCTGGACCTCCGTCTCTAATGGGATTTAAAGGACATTTCAGAAATAATTAAAACCCTCACAATTATCATAGAGAGTTGGAGTCCTATGACATCTCACCTCTGATATAAACCCACAAGCTATTGCAGCTAGAGACCTATGGTAATATAGCACTAGGTAAGTGCAAAGTGCTTAAAAATGTATTCAGACAAGGTCATGTGTGAAAGGGAAATTATTTTGTAATGAAGAAGTTTCATTTTCCACTGACATTCCAGCAATCAAACAGAACAAAAGAGATATATTCTTAATTTGTCTCCATTCAGATTAATTCATACTGAAATAAAAAAGATACCCTTAATTTCTCTTCAAAAGGACTGAACAGGACTACATAAGGGCTTACTTAAAGAGTTGGCTCAGAGCTTTGTAAAATGCAGTGTTGGGAAACAGCATCTGTGGTTTTATATTTCAGGGATGATGCAAGGTTTTTCAACCTTTAAATTACAACTTGTGCAAGCAATACTCTGTTATTTAACAGATTTGCAGATGTGTCCCTCTCCAAGGTAATGGGCATTGCATTTCTGTCATTCAAAAGGCTGTGATTCAAAATAAATCAAAGAATGAATGAATCCAATCCTCTCCTTCTCTAAAAGCTTCTAGACTCTACTTGGAGGGATTCTAGCGGTCTAGAGACTATAATAGATTTGTACTAAAGTGTTGTATCTGTAAAGAGTTTACAGATAAAAGAATGAATTTTCCATGGGAAGGAAGGAAGGAAGGAAGGAAGGAAGGAAGGAAGGAAGGATTTCTTTGACTATTGAACATAAGACAAATAGCTGCATAGGTTTATGACTAATAATATCTGCAGTGATGCAAGCTAAAATAACAGCTATTCTCAGAAATAAAAGCTGAGTTCAATGAAAGGAAATGTTACATGTGTACAATCACTGGGAAACACCGAGTGGCATTTTCCCTTTTGACCTTACATGACAGTGTAACATTCCAATGGAAAACACTGCCAAGTCTCAGTTCAGCATAAAAATAACACTGAAGAAAATACTGTGTAGCAAACAAACGGAACTAAAAACTGTTTCAATATAAAAAAAAAGTCATGCTTGGAGCCATCAGCATCTCTGAAAGCCTGTTTATTCCGTTGTCTGAAATCTGACAGGCCCACGATGAATTAAATGTACTACAATTAAAAGAAGTGTTTGGGGCAAACTAGAAACGCTTTGTTTTCTTTTTCACACTAGGACTCAGCTGACTTACATACCACATCACAAGATGCAAGGATGTGGCAACTCTGCCCTTATTGCTGTGTGACAAAAAGTAAAAAAAAAAAAAAAAAGCTACGATAAAATTAGAAATGGAAATCTTTGAAGCTTAATATTATGCAAGATATTCTGTAATAGAGGATTTTTTTTTTTTTTTTCACTTCAGTTTCACTATTTGGAGTTTGTGGCTGTCAGTTTACAGAAATAAATCTCAGGGAGTCAGATTTGTGTGGGACTTAAGTGCTGCCTCAGCTCTCATAATGCTCTCTTTGCATTGGGTTGGAAATATCAGGCTGTTAACCTGCTTTTTCTGAAATAAATAAATAGTATCTTTTACTAGGAAACATGTAAGATTTTACCAGATTGTCAAAGGTGTTAGTTGAAATGAATCTTCTAAAAATTAACTGAGAAATTTTAAAATTTTGACTTCCCAAAAGGGACAGACAATAAAGACACTGTCTGTAGAAAAGAAGTAACACTGTCCCTGTACAACAAAAGTCAGACTTCTCTCCCTTTTCCACAGTCAGGACAAGGATACTGAAGAAATATTTTTTAAGGGGTCCCCCCTGTCCTTTTACTGCTACTTCCTGGGCTGGGAGCAGAGAGATGGAGGTTCCCCACAAGAAGGTTTCCCACCAGCTCCAGAAGACTATGGATCCAGAAAGAGATCCAGGAAGATCTTAAAAAGAAATCCACCTGGTTGTCTCTACTGGCAGACCAACGCTGACATTGTGATTTTGCCTTCTCTGTTGTTAAAGAAGTGAAACAGTCCCTGGTATGAGGCCCTGGCCAGTTCCCAAACAGATCCTCAGCTTAGGCCCAGAGTTAGAAAAGCCATGCACTATTTCCCAATAGTTAGCTGGGATGTAGCAAACTTGTTTATGAGCCTTCAGTTGTAAGAACAAGACTAGACCATGCCAGCTGGCCAGAGAGGATTGAAGCAAGGTTCCTGGCACTGTTGTATTTGCAAGTACAGGGATAGCCCTGTGTTGATGAGACAAAATCTGTGGTGTTTACTACTAGGAATGGGATGAAATCAGCATGACTCCCAACATTAATAACACTTGTGGAAGAGCCAAGAGACTCAGAGAGGTGAAAAACAGCTTATATCCTGTAGAACAGTAATGCTGATTTGAGATGGGAGGAAAGCAGATGGAGTGAATGGATGTGCTGTTGAGAGAGGGGAAATAGGTTCCTCCCATCACATTTTCGACATTAAAAGTCCAGTGATTTTCTTTTTTTGTATTACTCAGTGTTTGCAGATGTGTTCAATATGTTCAGGATTCAAGATTTTTTGTGTTCCTTTGTATCTTGGTGAACTATATTTCATGGCTTTGGGAGCTGTTGGCATTGCAGCAAACCAAGATGGGCTTTCCATGTCGTGGGCTTTTGTTATAAATTCAAAATGCTGAGTAAACTCCCTCAAATTTGCCAATTCTTTCAGACAAACTATTGTGAGGCATAAAAGGCTAATCAAGCTGAAAGGAAAGGAATAAGTGCATATCTTCTAAATCACCATACTTTATAATCTTTTCAAATGGATTTTCTATCTGTAGACAGCTGACCATCAAGTTCGGTAGCAAAAATAAGCCCTCTTTATTAATTTGAATTTTCTGGTAAGGTTCACTGCCTCTGCAGTAAGAAGTCAGATAAAATCCCAAGATGTCAGGTTGACAAATTTTAATAATTGCTTTGTGTTGGAGGAGGGAGTGGTAATTTTATATCATTACCCCTTTTTGAGATTATCCAATTGCCAAGGTTAAAAACTTGTTTCTATCACCTTCAAAATTACTTTGAAATAAATAAGGATTATTACAATTGTACTTGTAAATGAAAAAACACTCATTTAGACTAACCAGTTTTAAATTCCTTTCCTTTTATCATTCTTAGTACAACAAAGTCAAAAGAGGCTAATAAACACTACCCCTTCTTTAGGAATTCATTAAGATAGATTAAATGCTAGGTTTTTACTATCTCATTTAATTAGAAGATAAATTTAGTTTTAGTACATGGAACCACTAAAGCATATTAACAGCTGTTTTAGATAGGTGTTAATTTAAACCCCAAACCAGCAAAGATTTTACATGTCCCTGAGTTCAAAATGATGTGGATATTTTCCTTTTACATAGAGTGAGCTGAATTGAATGTTGATTTTATCTGCCATCTACTTTTGCTGAAGTTTCATTTCCTGTATGAACCTGTTCTGCAATGGCATTTTCACTGATAAATAACACACTAGAATCTAATGAAAGACAGGAGATCATCTTACAGCATTTCTTACTGCCTTTTGAAATAAATGTTTCGCCCATTACCTCCTCACCACATCTTCATTAAACTGCCACACCCATATAAGAACTTATGACAACAACATATAGAATACACAAATTTAAGGAATGTAGGGGCCCCCAAGCAAATTTTGTTTCCAGAAAGATTCACAAGAAATTGACAATATAATAGAGATACCTTGAAAGTTTTGCTAAGATGGTCAGAGGAGAGAAAAGTCTGTGTCCTAATTTGCCAGTGCCACTTGATGTGGCATCTGCTGTCTAGGTGGCAGCACTGCTTTTGAACTCATCTCTACAGGGATGTCTTCCCACTGCACCACGGGGCAGAGCCAATCCTGACAAGCCTAAATCAGCTAATGATTTCACACCACAGGAAGCCAAGTTGTGGAATGATGACAGACTGCAATGTGCCAAGTGCCACAGACACACTGGAGATGTGCATGTGAAGAGAAAGAACAACAGAACACTTCCTCCAGAGCTGATCTGTTTTCTTTCTACCTAAAAGGGCCTGGGGTGGAAGCAGTGTTGAGAATGAATATGTGGCTCTGTATCCAACACTGCAAGAGCAAGTCTGCTTTATGTACCCTACCCCCAAAATCACACAGACTTGCCAATTCCTTCTTGTTTGGTTTTAATTTGCTTTATGAGGATTGACCTAACATACATATCCCAAGGGTCACACCAACCATAACCTGATACCTCCCATCTGCTTCACCTCCACAAAGATCCCAATCCAGTAGTTGATGTAAAAATAAGACAAATTGCAATAAAGTGAGGTTCCATAAAAATAGCAAACAGGCTTTGTAATTTTTCTTTATGTACTTCCAAAGGCAAAGATGACGGTATCACCCACTCTGTGTCAAATTATACAAATGCTAGGACACTCACCAGGACCTGGGACTTAGTCCATCTTTTGTCCTGAACCTGATGGAGGCTCAAATCCACATCTCCCTTCTCTGAAAAGGTAATCTAACCATGGGGCTACGAGTCATGCAGACAAACGAACAAATGGCAGAATTGTATACTGCCACAACTCCAGAAATAGAAGGAAGGAGCATCTGAACCCAGCCTGGTAGAGAAAGGATTTATCTAGGATGTGGAGAAGGTGGGGTTGAGCTCTCCATCAGCAGAGTAGGGATCTGAATCTTAGTTTTTCAATGATTGAGCATGAGCTGAAATTATAAAGGAAAAAGCAAAGATAACAACTCTATGTTATTATTTCAACTTTCAAAATTAAGAGTGTGCCCACCCTGAAGGAAAAAAAAAACAACCTGTCTTCAGGTGGAGACTTTTAGTAGTACATCACAAGTAGAAAAAGGCTTTGTAAAAAGAAGCAAGGCACAGAAAGACTCACAGAGCACACTCTGTGCCAATTCAGGTGCTGTACTTGGCTTGGCGGTGCCATACCATGAAGTGCTAGCCAGTCTGGCTTTGAATGCCAGCTCAATGCAGAGAACCACTATTACCCTTAGGAAAGGAATGGAAAATCTACATCAACTTTGCATGGCTGCAAAGGCATCAAAGAACTCTTGAACCAATGTTCAAGTGCAAGGAGGGAAGTTTTTGTCCATCCTTTTCTTTCTGCTCCCTCCTACCTTTCCTTCAGCCAGGACACAAAGAAAGTGCAGAGCCTTGTTCTTCCCCTCAAATCTGATTTGGTGAACCTTCTGTTGAGCACTTAGAGAACTTGTTCCATTCACAAAGCATGCAGACAACACAAAGTGTTCTCACCACTCAGTTAATGTTTTTTCTTATCTAATTTCATCCTAGAATTTCTGCCTTTTAAAGCACAGATACAATGTCCCTGCATAATAAGATCAGGGATATTATCAGCTATTTATTTTTATACTGGTATTAAAAAGGCATGTCCTGGGTCTGAATTTTAATGATTTCTCTACAAGTTTGGTATTTACATTCTATAGGCACATGGGAAAATATTGTAAATATTTATAGTACTCTGAATGTGGAGACTTGAAAATTAGTAGAAAGAAGGTTTCCATACTGCAGTGAAGACTGTGAACATTTGCTTTCCTAGATGAGATGTGCCTATTTTCACTTTGAAGGCTTGCCAGGTGGTAAGACTGAGTTAAAGTACCTGGCAAACATGAGTTCTGGGTACATCTGAGCTGTCAGTTGGGCCTGCTCCTATTGCCCACGTGCACATGCCGGATCCTTCATGGAGAAACTTGGTATCCACCCAGCTAAAACCTGGAAATGACTCAATGATAAAACCATCTCAGGGTCTGCTCCAATAAGCTCTGCGGGTGGAAGGAAGCCAGCTCCCACCACCTCCACCTGGCCCAGCCTTCAAACCCCTTCCTAGCAGGCAGTGAGCTGTCATAATACATAACCCCTTATGCAAACACACCCTTGGCATCCTGCACAAATACACCAGTGTTTAAGATGCCTGGGAGTAAGTGGCTGCAAGGGATAGCTGCTGCATCTGTCATATCCTGGTGCTATAGATAGGGCCAGGCTGCTCGAGGGGGTGTGCAGCAAGTTGTAGAACACAATTCACTGATTGAAGAAGTGGGAATCCATCCTTAGAGAAGGTGGTGGGACCAGCACAGACACAATCATCCTTTCCCTGCTGAATCCTTTCAGACAGAGGTTGCGTGCAAGCCAAACCCAGAGAAGTTGCAACTGAGAAAAGTCTGGTTATGCCAACTACTGAAGCTTATTTGAAGCTCATTTCCTGCTAAGTCTCAGCTTGAGAACTAGTACCAGCCGGTCATGCACTGAATGCCCTACTTACTTTACTTACTTGCCTATTTTTGGGGGGGTTGTTGTTTGTTTTTATTTTAACCACTGATAGAGCCAGTGCTGAATGCTGTAGATCAGGTTTGGTTAACCAGCATTGCCCTGGGGCTTCGTGCTGTGTACAGATTCCTGCATGCACACCCTACTTTTTCTTGTTTGGTGACTCCTCCCAGATTCATTGTCCACTTTCACCCCAATGTGTTTCTATTTTCTGTCCTTCTTGTGGCTCTGTCCAGATGGCTTATTATCTGCATTTACTAGGATCTATAAACAATTTTGTTATTTTTATTGACTTTTATTTTTATTTGGGTTTTTGGTGGTTTTTTTTTTTCTTTTCTTTATGTCAGCTCTGTGATTACCTGCAACCTTATTGCATAAGAACACAAACAAGGCTTGGGGATTTTCTTTGATCATTAACAACTATGATTAAAATGGTAACTCTGAACTCTACAAAGGACGAGCCGAGTTCTACATCATCAACATGCAATAAATTGCTCAAAAGTGGCACTTTGTAGTTTTATGAGTTATTATTCAAATAAAGTGACAATTTATTGAAAATTGCTTTTGAAATAAATATTTAAATTAATAATTGATAGTTATTCAAGTAGTTTATTAAAATTCACATAAGAACAATACTACTTTATACTTTTACCCAGTGGTTTTTTTCCCAGCACACTTTTTTCTTTGGCAATTTTTCTCCACTGAACCAATTAAGTACTGACTGAGATATTGCTCACCATATTTCTTTGTTCTACAGACATCTCTCTCAAAATCTGATGACCTCATAATACTATAACTGATAAACTCTTTTCTTCTTATATTTATGATTAAATTAAGTATTTTCCTAAAACTGGATAGATTTTTTTTTTCACCAAATAGAGTTATCATAAAAAGTATATGAAGAACTTAAGCATTCAATGCATATTTTAATATCTATATTCTAAACTTGTTCTCTAATCTATTTAACAAAGCCCTTTTCATGATGGTTTCTTATCCAGTGGTGGTCAAATTATGTGAGATGCATCTACAAGAAAATTATTTGTTACAAAATCATTCTTACTCTAAGTGTGCTATAATCAAAGCCTACTGACACTTCTTTCATTCTTCATCCATTTCATCTTTCCCAAGACAACATCTCAGCCAGGCTTTACTTTCACTTCACATTTCATCAGCACTGCCTATGACCCTATTACTCTTTCCACCTTGGACTTATATTGGTCAGTCAACAAAAATCCCTGGAGTGGCAGCAGGCCCCTGCTGACCTCCTGTGCTGGTGGGTTCAAAATTAGGCATGAGCCACACACGAGCCAGCAGTGCACCTTGGCAAAAGATGCTGAAGACGGCTGACATCATCCAGGAGTGCATTAACAGGAGAAAAGCCAGCATTTCTTAGGTCATATGAATAATAGTGTCCAGTTTTAGGCTCCTGTTGAGTACAGGAAGAAGCAATAAACAGGGATGAGTTCAGCAGAGGCAGCCAGGACGATTGTGGCTGGACCATTTGTCCCATGAAGCAAGGCTGTGGGACTGGGGCTTGCTCAGTCAGGAGAAGAGATGGCTTTGGAGGGACATGACAGAAGCCCCCAGTACCTGTTGGGATCTCAGTAAGGAGATGGAGCCACAGCGAGAGAGAGGTGTGAGGCTGAGAGGCAGCAGAGTGGTTCAGAGAGGATATGAGGAAAACCTTTTCTTCCCATGAGCACTGTCAGGAGGAGCAGGTTGTGCTGAGAGGTTACACCATCTCCATTCATGGAACAGATGACTGGATAAATCCCTGAGCATCCTGGTCTGACCTCAGAGCCAGTCATGATTTCAGCAGGAGGTTGGGCTAGACCTCCCAAGATCCCTCCTATGTGAATTATACTGTAATTCTGTGGTTACAAGGATTGCCTGCAGAGCAGCATTAAATATCACATAATACAATTGTCATAGATCTCCTTATTAAAATTGTTCAGATTAAGCATTCTGGTTAGCACAAAGACTGCATTTCATCACTTGTAACAGTCATAGCTGATGGTGAGATCTAAAGCTCCAGCTCATTTCATATACTCTTTGCTATTGTGTAGAGACACTAGAGCACATTCATGCTCTTGTTCTTTGCCTTCTGTCTCCTAGCAACTCCATCTGCTGCCTTATTTTGAATGTTGGAAGTACAAGTCAGATTTATTTTTTCTAGTTGGGAAAAAGCTGCTCCTTCCCTGATTCCAACATAGCTTAACACAGAGTTTTCTATTTAAGATGCTGGAGTGCCTTTTGCACAAGTAAAGATGATTTCACCCTGCATTCTGTCATGACAAGAACCTCTTTTCCACAGATCTAGGCCACTTCTTTACCCATGGGTTCTCGACCACATAGGAATTTCGGTGACTTTGTCAGTTGTCTGCAAAAATCATTAATCCACCTTTGGTTTGAGGGAATTATTCTGTTGGGTTTTATTATTGGTTATTGTTTGGTCTTTCATGATCTATAATTAGACATT